CATGACGGAGATGAACAATCTACTATACAAAAAAGAGTACAAAATATCGAGAGAACAACCTCAGAAAGAGGCAAACATAAGTGGCACACTAAAACTTGTCCCGAAAGGTTCTCCCCTACATATTTTTTGAACTTTTTATCTCACTTCAGGAAAAAAAAAAAAAAGAAGGAAAGAAAGTATATACATTTTCTCTTTCAGAAATTATATGAAATTATCTTTTTATAAACTGAACATGCCCGATAAAAATTGTAAATTTTGGTTTAGTCCTCCTGTCACTAGAGTTAAAAACTATTTTCATCATAACGGGTGTTTAAACAAATTGTGATGTTTCATCATCAGAAGAATAGCATTTTTTCTTAGTTTCTCGCTTGATATCCGGTATCAGTATTAGCGTTCCGATTAGTACAGATTCGCGCTTAAGGCCAATAAAGGAGAAAGCAGTACTCTATATTAGTATATTTTTCATTCTGAGACTCGAATCAAAGATATCTGGTTAAGGGTAAATGAATCTTATTCATTCCACTACGACCATTGGTGGTAACAGAAAATTAGGTTGAAGCCTCATGTAAATTGCCCAAAAACGTTTTTAATTTATTTTAATATAACATGCAACAAGAACTCATGTTCATTTCTCCTTGCTATTTGTTGGATATTCAGAGGTTAAAAGCGACTCATGACTCATCCTTTCGCCCTTTTCACTATGCTATTATATTTTATTTACCTTGAAAGTGAATGAATATATATATATTGGTTTGATTCTTCTTTATGACATTAAGACAAAAATAAAACAACAATTTAGGCACGTCTTGTCTTTCAAGAAACATTTTCAAAACACAATAAAGAATATACATCTTTCTTTGTTTAATATACAATCAAATGTATGTATACTGTTGGAATGAAAAGGGGAAAAGATTTATAACTGGATTAATTCGGCTCACTTTCAATATTTGTTGTCCCTTTCTAAAATAAAAGTAACATATTTTAGCCCTTTTGGCTTTAATTACTTGAGAGACTTTTAAAATTGACTGACAGTTACTATGATGTCTGTAAGATGAATATGGATCAAATAGCAATCTGCATGTTAATGATTGTTTGCTTTTAACGTACTAAATATAAAAGTGAAAAACCAAAAAGATGATAATAAACATAAAAAAGTTGCGCTTGATTCAAGAAATGCGTTGATATCAATTTTAAAATACTCCCTTCTATTTGTTTTGCTTTTTTCTTTTCTTTTTAATCTCAAGGAACCTTCATTTCAACAAAATAATTCTTCCATTATTTGCATAAGGAATTTGAATAACAAATATACAGATTTGAAAATTTTAAATGACGAAGGGTGTGTTTGGTATAACGGAAAATGTTTTCCAAGAAAATATTTTCTTGAAAAATAAGTAGTAGTCTTATTCATTTTCTGGTGTTTGGTACGTAGATTAAGAAAAATAACTTCTCAAGAGTATTCATAAATAATTTAGATACAATAAACATGAAGCTAACTTTTGAACCAACAACTTTCCGAACCCACAAATTTCACAAACTTCCGAACCGCTAAACTTTCGAAACCGCGAACTTTCGAACCCGTAAACTTTATATTTTCTAAACCCCTAAACTTCCAAACATATAAACCTCCTAATTCATAACTTTGAAACTTGTAAAATTTCGAACCTTTAAACCGAAAGATGAAAAAACTAAAACTGAAAATATATAAAAAAATATTNTGGGTGGTGTGGGGTAAGTTGGTGAGGGTGGAGAATAAGGTGAGAAGGTTGAGAGGAAAATGTTTTCCTTCTCTTGATAAGGAAAACATTTTCCTCAATTGGAAGAAAATGAGTTCATAAGAAAAATGTTTTCCAAAATATTTAAGCCAACAAATATGAAAAATTGAAAAATATTTTCTTTCCTACTAAACACACCCAAAGTAATAAATCTTATTAGGTTTAAATAGTAATGTGGTAAGTCACAAGGATTATAAATGGTAAAATGGAGACGGATATAAGCTTTCATTATCAAGCAATAAACCTCTGATTAAGGAAGAAGAAATTTTATCCGTAACTCAAATAACTAAACATACTAAGACTTGAGAAGTCTAAAATATCAAATGTGGACATTACAAGAATTGGCCAACTTTTGACGGCGAAATTCGCCGAAATCAAATAAAATATTTAGGATTTTTGGAAAAAAATATTCCAGAGGAAACATTTCTACATACATAAGTGATCACACCGACCATCTATATTTGTTTCTCCCACAAATATACTGGAGATTGGTGTACCTGTGTATGAACTTCTAGCACATATTATGCTGGAGCTAAACACACGGAAAGTTCCAGCATAATATACTGAAGATTGGAGCATATGTGTATGAACTTCCAGCATATAATGCTGGACCAGTATATTATACCGGAACTCCAGTATTTTCCGGATATTGAACAGTTTCGTTCAGAATCTTTACACGAAAAGTAGCTAAATTTCGATTATTTTTGAAACTACAACTATTTTTTAATTACTACTGATAAATCTGGCTATTTTTGAATTTCACCTGTAAAAATACTTAATTATTATTTAAACACGTTTAATGGAGAATCTTCGCAATTCAAACTATAGTTTCATGAGTTGGAGTTCAATACCCTTAATTAAGGTCAGTAATTACTAATGCAATTGTATTTTTCCTCATTATCTATTAACTCAGCAAAAGAAAAATATCTCTTTCAAAACTATTCCTACTCCACTACTTTTCTTTTTCTCAAAAAAGGAAAACGAAAAAGAAAAAAACCTTCGTACTCCAGCTGTGTAACTTTATCGTATCAAAGCAGATAGAGGTTTTGGGTTCGAATCTCACCCTAATATCAAAAAAAAATTTATATGCTTGGCTCACAAAAAAAAAAAAAATCAAACCCGCATGTGAGGGGTGTGTTGAAGACATAATTAAGTAATTAAAAATATGTACTCTCTAACAGTTTAAGCTTTTAGATGAGATGGTTACACACTTCAATAATTCAATATGATATCTGAGCAGACATAGGTCCTAGATTCGACTCTCACCGCCACCAACACCAAAAATAATTTTCACGTGCTTGACTCATCTAAATGAATCAAAGCTGCATGTGAGGGGCATATTAAAGACATAATTAAATAAATAAAAGTGTGATTTCTCTACTAGCTTAAGCTTTTACACGAAATAATTATATTACTCACCTCAAAAAAGAAAAATATATCAAACAACTCAAAATCTTTCACCGTAAAACTAAGGAATATGATTGCTTAATTAAAACCAGTGAAGTTATAACCAATTTAGATTTAGGTATGCTATTACATCAAAGTAAACTTCGTAAAGAAAAAAAAGTTGAAAAGGAAAGAAAGCATGTCGGCAGTTGTGGAAAAGTAATAGATATCATGGGTCACCATATGCAAAAAAAATTCGAATAAAAATATGTGAATGTTATAAGATAAATCTTATGGTGGATGTCTATTCCTCCTCCGTGATTTTTACAAATGTTTAATGACATATTAAATGACATATTTTTTTCACTTTTCATGCCTATATCTACCTTGTAATAGATAGGAAAATACACACAATTGAATAAATTCTCTTCCTTCTTTCTATCTCTATTATCTTGTTCAAGTTTATAGTAAATTGCTTTTAGTTTCATAACACGTTATTAGCACCATTGTCACCTCTATTTTTCACAATCACATCCTAGTTGTGTTCGATTCTCCTTTAGGTATATCACTATATATTCTTTTGGTTTATGGTAATATATATGCACCAATGTGCTATTTATTAACAAATTCATATACTGTTAAGCATTTATTTTAGTTGATCATGTTACATAAGTTCTCTTACCTTGCTTATTGTTAAAGAAAATATAAGATATAGATCTTAAGTGCGTTAAACTAACAAAATAAAATAGTGATAACTAACGTGACTAAATAATAATTGTACATACTAGTTTAAATTGATTTACAATTGGTGGAAAGTAATATTTGAATATATTCACTCTTATCACCATATATGGTTATTCCTCAAGTCCCCGTTTATAATAAATTGCTTTTCTTTTACCATACTGAATGTATATGTTTATGTTTATTCATATACTATATAATTATTGTTTATTTGACATATATATTGTATGTTACTTACATTTCTATTTATATTACATGTTTGAAGTGATCAACTTCTTAATTAGTTGTCTGATTTTTTTTAGAAGTATATTTTCATTGAAAATTATTTTTATTCTTTTTAACCCATTTATTTTGTGATTAGTTTCACTATGTCAAACTTGTCAAAACTTGAATTCGTGGCACTAGACATTACCGGAAAGAATTACTTATCATGGGTCCTTGCCGAAATTCACTTTGCTGCAAAAGCTCTTGAAAATACTATTATACAAGGAAATGAAACATCAAGCCAGGATAATACATTCCAATCTATTTTTGCAATATTTTGCAAATGAATTATCTTTTGAATCTCTTGTTCACATTGATTTGTTCGAGGATCTAAATGAGATAGTGATAATACATTCCAATCTATTTTTGCAATATTTTGCAAATGAATTATCTTTTGAATCTCTTGTTCACATTGATTTGTTCGAGGATCTAAATGAGATAGTGATAATACATTCCAATCTATCCCCTTTCTCAGCTGCTTATTTTCTCCCCTAATGTTGGGTATATTGATTCATAAAAATGACAATCAAAAAATCTCGCTGTAAATAAATCTCCAGTCATAGGCTCCAGAGATTTTATAATAGAAGGAGATTCATACCCAACATATATCCCCAACCTTCTTTGGGGGCCCATCTCTGTGCATTGCGGTGGAGCAATTGGAACATATACTACACAACCAAAGATTCTAAGATGGAAAATATTTGGCTCCTGGCCAAAAGCCAATTGCAATGGGGAGATTTTATGATAACTTGTGTGTCACGACCCCAACTTTCCCTCCATAGGGTATCGTGACTGCACCTAGTCTCTATGACTAGGTAAGCCTGTTAACACACGGAATAATGAAAATAACAATTAAGACTCTCAAAATATCCACCATTCATTACATAATAAAGTTCCCAAAATCCGGTGAAAAATACAAGTCACAAGCTCTTAGAAAGAGTTCTAACATAGCTCTAAACATCGGAGTCTAATAAAGATAAAGAAACAAGATAGTAAAGATAGATGGGGATTCCGAGACCTGCGGACGCTGGCAGGTATACCTTGAAGTCTCCTGGTACAGCTAGCTCACTGATACCTGGTCTGATAAGAAGTACCTGAATCTGCACACAAAAAAAAAAGTGCAGAAGTGTAGTATGAGCACACCACAGCGGTGCCCAGTAAGCGCCAAGCCTAACCTCGGTTGAGTAGTGACGAGGTCAAGTCAGAGCCCTACTGGAAAATAATAAAAGACAAGGCAAGAAGTTCAACAATATGATAATAGTAATGACAAATGGGAACAAGTCACATAAGAAAAATATCAAAATTTAACAACACAGAATAAGAGCAAATAATAATAACTTACTAAAGGGAAAGCTTCAATTAAATAAATAAAAATGATAGAATAACTGGAAAGTAAATGTAGCCATAAAGAAATATCAACAGGGGCACTTTCGAGGTACCGCTTCGTAGTCCCAAATCATAAATAAATTCACAATATCTCATTTCCTCATATCACCGCGGGAGCCTTCACATTTACTTTTAAAGAAAAAAAATATTTTTCCTGAAATAGCATCCCACGTTTTAGCCGTCCTTATCTCACCACATGACTTCTAGTAGTTCCCTACTAGCCACGTGTATCAAGCCACCCTTATCTCACCACATGCGTTTCAATACCCAGACCTTATACCACCGCATGCGTATCAATATCACAATTTGCACCTCAAGTGCTCAAATATTTCTACTTGCCAAAATAAATTAACACCTATATTTTCCACAATAAGGAGCTAGCGGCTCAATCACAATGAATATAAAAATCTCAACAAATAACGATTTCCCAAATTTAGCACCTTGATTCCATACCGATTTTTAAAATGCCAAATACTTCATATATAAAAAAAATATTTAAATTAAGAAAACACAACCTTCAAATAATGAACACAAATAAAAGAAACAAAGTTTCAATTTAACAGATAGGCAATTAGCAAGAAAAGGTCAGACTAGTTTCACATATATAAAAATAATTTAATGACAATGAATAAAAAAGGAATAAATGATTTAATTAATATGCAACAGTGATATACACAAATTAAAAGTATAATCTTCCACATTTAGTCGGTGTACGCACTCGTCACCTTATGTACACGACTTTCATTTAGCACATTAATACCAATTCTAGGGGAAAGTCCCCCACGCAAGGTTAGACAAGTCACTTACCTCAAGTCACGCTAACTCAATCCACTAGTAGGCCTTTCCCTCGATTATCCAACTCTGAACGACTCGAATCTAGCCAAAATAATTTCATACTATAAATACAACTATAGGATATTAATTTGAACAATAAAATTACGATCTTTACGAAGAAATAATAATAATTCAACCCAAGCCCACGCCTCGGAACCCGACTAAAAATTTGCAAAAATTCGAACATCCAATTACGTGTTGACTTGCCCCTCCAGTTTCAATTTTCTCCAGATCATGTTAATATCCCAAACAAACCAAGCTCAAGCACACATTCTTATGGATACTGAGATACTAAATTCATTATTGCTAAGTTCTAGCCTTTAGGATTTAAAAGAATAAAGAGAATTCAACTCCAATAGTAGTCTACAGCCAACTTCACATCAACTTTAATAGATTAGAAAAAAGCAAAATAGTGATAAATTTACTTTACATCAAATATATTGAATCTGTTTTACTTGAAGATTGAAAAAGGACGATTGAGGAGGACTTTTAGCTCATATAATTCATGTTCCAACCCAAAAAAAAAAAGTAAACACATGGAAAATATCTTTTTTTTAGCTTTAAAATAATAAAGAATCGTATGAATATCCACTCCCTATTTGACTAAAAACCAAACCAAATGAAAATCCAGTGCAAAATAAGTTCACTCAATCCTAAAATAAATCCATAGATAAATATATGAGATGCTGAAAATAGTGAACAAAATTCTAAGGAAACTAAACAAATCTCAACAATTATTGTAACCTTAATCCATCTTTTAATGGCTCTCCTGAGACTAGATTCACTCCAAATATGATTAAATAAAGAAGAAGAAGAAGAAAAAGGAATTGAACCTGCTAACCCAAAACCGTCTTTAACACCATTAGAATAATCGAGGAATGTAATATTTTGCCTTCAGAATCCAAACAAAAGAGAGACAGCAACAAAAATGAACATGAACCACAATCGGAACTCACGAACGGTAGCTAGAAAAATTCCGACCCCAAACTCGAACAAAAATCAAAATAGATTCGACTCAATCATATTCCATATTTTGGAAGCTATATATATCAGAAACCAAAGGAAAAAGCATAAGTGTATGTTGTCGTATTTTTATTTTCTAATTTTTCTGAAATCTAAATGAAACTTGAAAATCAAAAAGATAATGGAGACCAAAAGAAGAATCCACTTTTGTCTGAACATTACCTTCTGTCCAAATTTTTAATTATTTGTTTTTTTTTCTTCAAATTTTCGTCATTTCAAGCCTAATTTAGCTACGGACTTCGAAATAATATCCGGACACACTCCAAATCCCAAAATCACCATATAGAGCTATTGGAATCATCAAAAATCTATTCCAAGGTCGTTTACACATATTCCACCTTCCGGTCAAATTATTCAACTTAAGCTTTCTTCTTGGAGACTAAGTGTTTCAATTCATTTTAAAACTTCACTGGACCTGAACCAATTATCTAGGCGAATCCTATAACAACTGTAAAGCAAGAATTTAGTAGTAAATGAGAAAACATGATTGTACTATTCAAAATGATCGGTCGGGTTGTTACATTGTGGGCCTTATCTGCACAAGTGATGCCGCATGCAAAATAGCATGACCCCATACTGAAATGGGAAGTTTTGGTCTCATAAGCATTGGTCTAGCAATTAATTGGAGGCGTTTGATCAATGATTCCGCTAGACCATTTTGTCTATGAACATGAGCGACCGGATGCTCAATTGTTATCCCAGTTGATATACAATAATTATTAAATGCTTGGGATGTAAATTACCGACATTATCAAGACGAATTGTCTTAATTGCATAATCTAGAAATTGTGCTCTTAGCTTTATTATTTGAGCCAACAATCTCGCAAATGTCATATTGCGAGTTGATAGTAAGCACACATGTGACCATCTTGTAGATGCATCTACCAAAACCATATAATATCTGAATAGTCCAGATGAAGGGTGAATGAGCCCACATATATCACCTTGTATACGTTGATGGTCTAATAAAGTAGCAAAACCAATGAGCATATGCAACTGTTAAGATTCGAATCCCTCACCTCCTCCTTCAATTATAGGGGTTTAACCAATGGACCAGGACACGCCTCTTGACAAGCACGGTCTTTTTATCCTTTATAACGACTTTTTTAAAATATTATAAATTTATTAGAATATATTGGAAAATTTTCGCATAAGAACAACTGAGTTTCCTACTTTTCAATTTTGTAGCCCATATTTCAATTTACAATTAAATAGCCTAAAAATAATAGGCTAAAATTTCACATCTAACTCCAATAGGTTCTTAAAATTACTATTTAATTTTTAAAAAGATTGCTCAAGCGTTTAAGTTAATTTTCAAATCATGACTCAAATATTAGTTCAACAAATCAAATCCATTTGGATGGTAAAAATTAGATTTTTAACAAGCTTAAATATGTGGGTTTAAATTCCGAATTTGATTTTGTGAGAAATTTGGAGTGAGCGGTATTTAGACTTGTTAGAAATAATATAAGGAGGTTGTATATAAAATTTGAATTCATTTAATGGAGATTTGCACTAGTTTTGAACAAGACTTGCAACTGAAAATCGTGGAAGAAGTTCGTCTACAGAAGCTTGTATAAAGATGTATAAAAGTGTATAATAGTGTATAAGATGTGTTTATACACTCATATACAAGATTATACATAATTATACAAAATACTAACTTCGTCTTCTTCCTTGCGTCTTTTCTGAAATTTAACTCAAATCTTGCTCAAATCTACTCCAAATCACTTCAAACTTAAATTGTGAACTCCTTTTGATATTTTCAATCAATTGGAACAACACCCAATCCAAACAATTAACAAACTCAAAAAAACCTATTTTCGAAAGCAAAGCTTTAAATGACCTTCAATAGTGGACTTCTACTCTTTAATTTTTTTACATGACAACCAGGTGACATAGGGGGAGAAACAGTAATGGCGGACATCTCCTTGAAGCATATGTAAAAAATGTGAGAAGAAGAGAGAGTGAAGGCAATGGTTGTGAGAACACAAATTTAACTCCATAGCTTTTAGAAGCAATGATTGTAAGAACACATATTTTGAATTTGCAAGAGCTATTGTTTTCAAAATATGTATAATATGGGCTAGGTCGGGTAAAACTAAAAAATATGAGTAATTTTTTTATTATGGTGTGAAGTCATGTGTATTTTTTTGTAATTCTTTCTAAATATTTAATAAAATTTTCAGACAAGGCGGTGTCGGTTACATGCACAATCCGCTCCTGTCCGAACGTCTATGACATACAGCAACTGTTCTTTAATGGTATTATTTCCAGAAAAAACAAAAGCTGATTAGCATTTTTTAATTAATTTAATTGGTTGCGCAGCCCTTTTTTTTGTTGCTACTTTGCTTTGCTTTCCTTATCTTTTTATCGCTCAATAGCATTATTGATGTGTAGGGTTTGCAGATTGCAGTACACTCATTTTTCTCTCTGTTTACTTTTTAGGGCTATTATCGCTTCTAATCCACGTTAGAAATTATTTATTTTTGATAATCAAAAAAATATATAAAATATATATAATTTTTGTATATAACATATATAATGTTTATATATAAAAAATATATAATTTTTATATATTTTTCCGGCTATTATTTTTATAGTGGCTATATAGTATCATTTTCCCTAATTTTTATGGACGTATAAAATCAAACCACAGATAATCTATAGTAATACTAAAAAGCAAGAAATCGGACACCACGATTAAAAAAAAAAAGAAGAAGAATGTTTTGGTGACTCTGTGTATATACATAAAATAATTTAGTGACTCCTGTGCGATGAAATAAAAGTTGAGTGATTATCGAAACCCCCTCCCCCCTTGCTATTTCTTTTTTGGTTTCGGAATCTATTAAACGGACTAATTTATATTCAAAGCTCATAGTGTACATTAAAGAGAAAAGGTTCATATTAGAATTTCTTTTCGTATTCAAGATTCAAACTGAAGACCCGTAAGCGAAAATCAGGGGCGGAGCTAGAAGCCGAGATACAGATTTGACCGAATTTAGTAGCTTCTGTATAGGTCAAAATCTGCCCTAAAGTATTTAAGACGATAACGCTAAAGGAAGAGTCTTCAAGCCGTCATCAGTCGAGGTCGACCAGGAAGCAGCGAGATTCGTGGTCAAGGTGTCAACAATGGTCGAGGTCGAGCACTGTTGATAGAGCGGTAACTGTGAAAAAATAAAGTTGATTTTTTGAAAGAGTAAAAATTATAATTAGAAGAAGCTTCTAGAAAGTTATGGAGTAATATCTTGGATATTTGTTGTACTTAAGAAATATCTAGATATTTTAGAGTTTTGGATATTTAAGGAAGATATTAATAGAAGGTGATAAAATTGTCTAGATTATTTTTGTATCTAGAATCATCCCTAGACAAGTATAAATAGGAGTAGCCTTAGACATTTATATGAAGCCAAATTCAAGAAAGCTTTCTTTCCTAAACAAAGTTCTCCTTTCAGAAATCTCTCTTCTCTTTTCAAGCTTCCTCTTCTTTAGTTGAATCCTCTAATCTTATTTAACGATCTTGGGCTAGCAGAAGGTTTCCAAATAATACTCTTTTTCTGATATTCTTTACATGGTATCAGAGCCATAAGGCGGCTTCTGGATTTCAAGGTCGGGTTAGTGGTTGATTCAACTGGTTTCTCTAAATGGATTGGGTGGTCGTGTTAATGGATTGGGGATAGAGTTATTGAACCAATCTAACTACAAGGTATGGAAGACTTGTATGGAGTCATACCTTGTTGGTGATGATTTGTGGGAAGTTGTCAATGGAAGTAACACAAGTCCTCATGCTGACGCACCAAAAAATAGCAATGCACGTAAGAAGTGGAAGCAGATTAATGCTAAGGTGGAGTTTATCCTAAAGAGGTCTATCTCTCCTAATTTATTTGATCATATTATAAGGTGTAAATTAGCTCATGAAATATGGAGGACCTTCGATCGGCTGTTCAACAAAAAGGATAAAGCTCGACTACAAATTTTGGAGAATGAGTTAGCTAACACCACTCAAGGTAATCTCTCTATCGCCGAGTATTTTTTTAAAGTTAAAAATGTGTGTTCCGAAATTTCTTTATTGAATCCGGACGAGGCTATCTCTGAAGCACGAATAAGAACAATTATTATTCATGGTTTAAAGACAAAATATATTCCTTTTATTACATCGATTCGAGGATGGGTTCAACAACTATCTTTGGAAGAATTTAAGAATTTGCTGTCATCACAAGAGCTACTAGCCAAACAGATAGTTGGTGTATCTATCAAAGAAAGGGAAGAAATGCTCTTGTCACGGATAAGAGGAACTTTAAAGGAAAATCAAGAGATAGCATGCACTTTAGATCCTCAAGTGGTTCAAGTTCGCCAGGAAAGAAGGGGAAGTCTTCCAGTAACGGTAAAAAGCTTTTAAAATGTTACCGTTGTGGCAAAGTCGGGCAAATAAAAAGATATTGTCAATCCAAAGAGAGCAATATGTCTCAAACCAAGAAAGTTGCTGAAGAAGAAGAAAAAGAAGAAGACTGGGGAAAGTGCCTCGCAGCGGAGACTCGAGCAAAAGATGTCATGGCTTCCATAAATTTTGAAAGAGACTGGATCATGGATTCAGGATATGGGCACCATCTCATGGGAGATCAATCCAAATTCTCCACCTTTCGCGAATACAATGGACGTGATGTCATTGTTACAGCAGATAATACCATCCATAATGTAGAGAAGGAAGGCACTGTTGTGATCAACGAGAACTCCTTCATTTTCAGGTTATTCTTATATGCTAATTTTTATTGATAATTTTACTAGATTCACTTGAGTTTATTTTGTGAAGCACAAGTCAGAAGTTTTCAGTAAGTTCGTGGAGTTCAAAGAAACAGTTGAAGGTGAACTCGATTCCAGAATAAGGTGGCTGTGAACTGATAATGGCGGTGAGTTCACGTCAGATGAGTTTCTTTCCTTTTGTCGTCAGCATGGCATTAAAAGAGAGCTGACATGCGCTGATACGCCACAATAAAATGGAGTGGCTGAAAGGAAGATCCGACATTTAACTGAGACATGTTAGAGTTGGCTTTATGCCAAGAATTTACCTAGAGCCTTGTGGGCTGAAGGTATGAAATGCGCAGCGTATGTGATTAACA